TTTTTTCGTTTTTATACAAAAGAAAATGTTGTGTAGTGGGGGGGATTTGTGTGTTATAGGAGTTGTGTGGGTGGGGGGGGTGGGGGGGGGGGGGGGGGGGGGGGGGGGGGGGGGGGGTAGTCGAAAAACTTCGACTTCAAACTTACACTCACTATTCTCTTCGAAAACATATGTGAGTTCCACAAATTGCTTTTCACTATTCTGAATCTTCGTTGTTACCCACATTGAATCACTATTAATAACTTTGTTTTAATGAGTTTTCATAAGGTGCGGGCAAGTAGAAATTTTCACAAAATTTCTTTCTGCGATATTTTGACATGGTTGGCAGAGCTCATCGAGTTACCTATATAATGAAGTTTTTAATACTTTCAGATCGACTATGTTGAAAAAAATCCGAAAATACTGCTTTTCCGATTATGGCACTAAAATGGTATCACTTTCAAGACTATTGATAGTAAGTTGCTATTTTCTTATATTCATCTTGGATTTTATGTTCCAGAAATATTTTATTTCTGAATCTCTGGAGATTTTTGTTCTAGAAAAAGACAACTTACCGGTATTAAAAGGTAAAACAGCATAGCGAGCATTCCAAACAACAGTAGAACTGTAGATGGGTTTCGTAGCCTCTATCGGGGTATCTTCCAAAGACATCAACTCTCCATAGGTACAACTTTGAATGGCTGTTTTTACTTAATTAAAACCGGTATACATACGCAAAAAGAAGTTATGCATGGGTTTTAGATAAGCTCCTTCCTTTTCTGAGAAAACTGAATTTTTCTCAGTGTCAGTGACAAAAACCTGGAAAACCTGTTAAATCTATGTTATCATTGTGTAGTTTTTATTATTGTATCGTGATTTCAGAGCAAAACAAATAGCAAATTCAGAATCCGCGTGAAAAATTACATCAGGATACATATTTCGGCAAAATCAATATTTTACGCAAAACTAACCCCGTGGCAACCACGGGCGAATTTTTGCAAAAAAACATTCTTGAGGGGTAGTAGAGTCTAGTTTTACTTAGAAAATTGATTTTGCCGAAATATATGTCTCCTTATGTAGTTTTTCATGCTGATTGTGAATATGCTATTTTTTTGCTCTCAAATCATGATGCAATAATAAAATCTACAAAATAATAACACATATTTTATAGGTTTTTCAGGTTTTGTCGGTAAGACTGAGAAAAAATCAATTTTCTCAAGGAAGGAGCTTATCCAAAACCAATGCATAATTTGTTTTGCATATGTATACCGGCTATAATTAAGTAAAAACAGTGATTTAAAGTTGTATTTATAGAGAGTTGATATTTTTCGAATATATCTCTATGAGGCATTGCACCTAAACTACGACCAATTCCTCCAGAACGTTCCTCAAGTGATGTCACCGATTTGACTCATATTTTTACAGTAGATTGGCCTAACAAAGTAAGGAAGAAACTGAAAATTTCAGCTCAAACAAACTAGCCAATCTGGATATACAGATGTTGAAAGTATGAGGAAGGCAGGCTACTTTTCAAGTACCTTTCAGCGCAAAAATTTGCAGTAAATTTCCAGCTTCTACAGAAGGACAAGAGGTATAACCGAGATTTTTTACCATATATACTATTGACCGTGGATCATCTTTTGATGATATTAAAAGTATCTTATCACGGGATAATATTAGTTTGGTAGTACATAGCATTTTTAGAATGGGTGTTCCCGAAGAAAAAGCAAATTGGTCGGATTAGCGCCCTAGAATATTTTGAGAATAGTTTCATCTGAAAAAGTAGATCAAATTGCGTTTTCAAAAGTTTGTGACAATGAATTTTAATTAAGAGAATTTATTCAACAATATCCTAGCTTTTTATGAAAGTCTTTGTCTAGAAAAATTTATTGTACTCGATATTTTTCACATATGGTTACTATAAATTGTGTATTTTAGAAAAATAATCATAGATTCTGATAGCCCATGAAATTCTCTGGAACTCTATCTATAAATATCTAGAATAAAAGTTATTCGTTTAAAAAAATTCAAGCGCATCAAGACACCCCTATCATCAGGTTCTTACAATCGTAGTTTTTCTTTTTTCTTTTGATAACCTTGTTGAAATTATTTGAAGTCTTGCACAAAGAAAGTTACATAATCTGATAGCGCGTGAAATTCTGCATCTTCTAACATGTTGCTCAAAACGGAAATATTGGTGTCCGAGTACTTAGTAATAACCATAATTGCTCCACTAGCCATAAAATTGTTACAATTTCATTCGTATTTAACATTTTTGTGGAATTCACGTTTATTTTTGAAGAAGACAGTGAGTGTAAGTTGTCAGTTCTAGTGTCGCGGCTGCGCCTTCCCCCTCCCTCTCTCCATGACAGACACTTAGCAACAAAAGCTTCCATTACAGACATACTCCCCATCAGAGACCTGAGGAATCGAGAATAAATAATGAATACATATCTATATAATAATTTCAGTTGCCATCTAATTGAATGCATATAAGAATAAAAATGCTAAATTAAAAAAAAAAGAATAACGAAAATAACAAATAGTAAGAAAGTAGTAGGCGCCACTCAGATTTTTCATAAAAATCTAGAATATTGTTGAATAAATTCTCTTAATTAAAATTCATTGTCACAAACTTT